TCCCGCCCCCGAGCGCGGGTGATTCACCCGGCGCCGCGCGGGGATGCTCGGAGCGCAGGGGGGCTGCAAGCTAAACTTATCCTCCTACATATGCATGGTGGCCTTTCTGCTCTGCGAAGGAGAGGTCTGGAGTTCTGCGGAAGGCTGCTAAATGGAGCGAGGGTAAAGTAGGGCATAGTGCAAGTTTTCGCGCCCACTGAGCTCCCCTCCCCCACTGGCCCTACAAGGCCTCGATAGCCCCAGGCCTTTCACCTTGTCTGGCTCTACCGGATTGTGCTGCCTTGTGAGAGGCCCCATCCCTGCAGGCCCGCCTCTCGCTCCCTAAATTCTCCACTTTCCCTAACCCCTGCTTTCACTTAAATGAACAGTTTCCCCCCAATAAATCCTGTGTGCCTAGGTGGGGTCGTTGAAACTGAAACTGGGTGCCTGGGCCCTGCCTGGAAGGGAGAGGTCTGACACGTGATCCCCTACCCCAGCGAGCCATCTGTTCCCCTTGCTTCTCACCCAGAGCCTGGCAGCTCTGCCCAGCACGGTCCACACCTCCCAGCAGGAGTGAGCAAAGCCAAAATCGGCAGAACCCAGTACAGTACCTACAGAACACGACTGTCCCCTAAACTTCTCTGGGCCTTGAACAGAGACAAGGCCCCACAATCTGTATTTTATTTTATTGACACAGTCTGCATTTTAAATTGAGCACCAGACGATTATACGACCAGCCCTTCGTATAGCTCAGTTTCAAAAAAAATCTTCAGGGGAGAGGCCCAGCAAGCTATGCAATTTGGCCCTGGTGGAAAACTGAACCTAAGAACTGATTCTTCGAATGCCCAGGCCCTTCCTAACCAACCAGTTTGAAGAAAGAAAAAGTGAGACCATGAAATTAAGAAAAAACGGATTTTAGGCAAATTTATACTTACGCTACCATTAAATATTGATTTAAGGAACTCTGACCTTCACTGTCAGAGAGAGCAGAGTTTGTGGACACACAGCAGGTGCAGAGGTATTTATTTAAAGAACCCAAGTCTCGCTTTAGTTTTTTCCCCCTAGGATTATTATTTTTTTAAGATCCCTTAGGTATTTGGAGTTTGGAAGGGGGCTGTAGATGTATTAATCTCATCCTATCAATTCTCAGATCTAAGGAAATGGCTCAGAGGTTGATTTGAGGTAACAGCAGACTTTACAGTCCCAGAAAGGCAGTTCCCCACCCTAGGCAGCTTATGCTGAAAGATCCGCCTGTACTTTAGGCTGTGCTTCTTGGGAGAGGATGATGGTAATTATTTTAGTGTTCAAAGGAAAAAAGACTTACAGCTCTGGTTGCAGGCCCAAAGCCATTGTTTTGAGAACCTGGACAATACAAGGCTTACTGAGGCAAAATGTGGAGAGGAAAGCACACAAACTAAGAGCACTGATTTTTCTCGCTCCTCCCAGTTGGATGTGTGGATTTGAAATGTATATTAGTAAAGACAAATCTGGGGAGAAAGCAGACCTCTTATGTTCATGTGGCAAAATATATATCAGTAGATAAAATTATGCATTTTAATTAGGGGTGATTCATATTAATGAGTTGTTTTGCCAAAATTTAATTGAGATAATCACATGCTGGCAAAACAGCATAAATTAGTTTCTTGTGTTGAATACCCAAGGGGGAAAAAAAAACCCGATGTAGAAATTATATGTCTTGTTATTTGTTTTTAACACGTAAGTCTCATGGAAAACAGAGTCACTTTTCATTTCTGTATTCCCTGTGCCTAGCTGATTGTCAAAAACATAAATATCTGGAGAATGAGTGAGAGGGAAAAGAAAAAGGACTGTTCTACAATTCTAGAATTGCTGAGTTTAAAAAGATTCTCTAAGTCAACTAGCAATTATGTTGGTCAGTATGTGAAAGAAATTCATGTGAGTAAAACCTGTTTTCATGCTGATGTTAAACCTAAGGCTGTCTATAGACCAGAGGCATCTATTTTACCAGTAAAAATACAAGTCGAGTTGAGTGTGATGGCTCATGCCTGAATCCCATCACTATGGGAGGCTGAGATGAAAAGATCAAGAGTTCAAACCCAGTCTGGACAACTTGGTGATTTAGTGAGACACTGCCTCAAAATAATTTATAAAAATAATACAGTTAATTTTAAAATAAAATTTTTAGGCTGGAGATTTAGCTCAGTGGTTCTGCCACCTGACTCATTAGCACACGGACCAGAGTTCGATCCCCAGTACAAAAAAATTTTTTTTAATTTTTATTTTTTAGACAGGGTCCCATTCTTCCAAGACATCTTTGAACTCCCTATGTAGTATAGGCTGTTCTGGAACTTGTAACGGCCCTCCTGCCTCAGCCTCCCGAATCCTGGGATTACAGGCCTATGCTACCAATGCCCAGACCAAAATTATTTTTTTAGAGAGGTGAAGATGTAGCCTTAGTGTGAAGGCCCTGGGTTTAATCCTTATTATCGGGGGGCGGGGGGAAAGGCATAGTAGGCTCTGTAGGACATCGTCATAGGGACCCTGGAGAGATCTCACTGGTATTTGTGCTGGGCCTTACAGAGGCAGGCAAAGGTGCAATTTCTAAGTAATCATATACCCTAGGGACAGAGTTTGTCCCAGAACAATCATGAAGTAGGCAAACTCTCCTGGGCTTTGGTGAATTCTTTTCTAAAATAAAGGAAATTGGATGCAAGAATTCCAAAATAGTTCTACTTTAACATAGTATGATCCACTGACTGTTAGGGTTGTTTTGAGTGTGCACCCAGGGTCCTTTGTACTGGGCCTGGCGCAGAGTAAGCAAAGGTCACAGTACAAAGATGATGGCGAAAATGATGATGTCCCCTATTAACCAGGATTATCTTTCTTTCCACAAGTTCCTTCCCCAGTAGTCACCTACTGTGGTGATTTTAAAAGTCAAAATAAACTACTCTTTTTTTGTGTTTGCTTGTTTTTTGAGAAAGTGTCATTATGTAGTTCAGTCTGGTCCTGAACGCAGTACATAGCCCAGGCAGACCTCGAACTCCCCGCAATCCTCCTGCCTCAGCTTTTCTAGGGCTGGGATCGCAGGCATGCATCACCACACTCTAGCTACCCTAACTTTTAAATTTGGGTTCATTTGAGACCCTTCCCTTAGAGACAAAGAACCTGCCGTAACTTTTACAAATCTTAATGAAGGTTGACAGGGATAGAGTCAGGGTTCCTCTTCATAAACCCACATGGCATAGAAGCAGGTAAATCTCATGTAGGACAGAATATATCCTTTTAATCTGTTCTGTTGACAGTATATCTCCTGAGAGAGACTAGCCCTTGATACTTTTCTCTGCTATAAAGATGGAAAACAACCCCAGCATTAACCAGAGAAAGAAGCAAGCTGAGTTAATCAGACTCCAAGACCCACACTAATTGTTGATCAAGTAATTCCATGATATTCAATGGAAAAGGAGCTCCAGCTGGTTCCAGTTCTTAAGACTCTGTTGAGCACAGTTAATATTTCACAAAAAGCAAAGTTCTCAATTGTAAAGCCAGAAGTCGGAAACCTTGTGGTTTCCATTGAGTTCTGCCATTATCTGCCTAGCAAGGTAAATAAGTCACTTTTCTGTGTCTGTCTTTACATTTTTAAAGCAAAAAAGAGGGAACATGCCTGACAATCATGTGGGAGAGCTCTGGAAAGAAAATGATGTTTCTTTGAAAAAGTTATACAAATAAGGCATTTTTTTTTCTCTATTGGAAGGTGGGCTGAAATAGGTTTACAATGAAACAAATGTAATTTGCTTGGGATAAATTGTGCCAAGAAAGTAAAAAAAAAAATTCAGAAATACAGCAAAAGGAAATAGAGTGTTTCGATGTAAGAATTACTTGATAAAGACTATGCTTTAAAAGCAGAACTTTTATTAGCTCTGAATCTTAAAGATGAGTTGGTCGTTGTTAATGTATATGATTTTTTTCAATTTAAAGGTATGCTGCATCCCAAAAAACAAAACCTGAAAACCAACTGATGCTTTCCTTTCTCATTTGACATATTGAGGCCTTTTGGGGGGGGTGAGTATAGATTTACACGACATTTACTCATCACCTCTGTTTTCCCACCCATCGCTCAACTTTACTATCAGAAACACAATATACAAAGATTTGTCCAGTTTCACTACAGCTCTGCTTGTTTACAAGTGTGGATGGAGCGCTTGCATTCGAAACGCCTTTCTGATTGGCTGAGCCAATGCCAGTGACATCAACCAACTTACTTTTGATTGGAAGGCTGGTTGCTGGGACTGTAGCGTTTGCAGGAAGTCACTTAACTGTTTGCGGACTGGAAAAACCCAGGCTGAAGTTATCTTTTGTCATAGGAACCAGCACAACTGACTAGGGGAGACGCATCCCGAAACTCCGCAAGCAAGAACGGGTGCCAGGAGCCAGGAGACCCAGACCGGCAATCGGACCGAGCAGTCCCCGAAGAGGATGAGCAGCTGCCCCTTTCCTACCTCCGGGCTGTTACCCTTTTAAATGCCAGTGTTCGAGGCTGGAGGGGTAGCACGAGGCAGCGTGGAACGGAACAGTCGGATTGGCCGCACGCCTCAGTTCTAGACGCACCTCTCCACCGAAAGGCCATTCTGAGTGTGTGAGGGGGGAGTAAACAGAGTTGAATCACCCTCCCCACTGGCCAATTGCAGGGGGTTTGGATTGTGACGTGATGGGATTCTGCGAAATTGTTACTGAGCAAGAGAATGCCGGAACGGTGCGGACCGGCCGGACCCGGCGCTCAGAAGCCGTCCGCGGACCGGGGGAAAAGTGTCTCTTTAGACCCGGCGCACTGCTCAGCCCCCGCGTAGAGGTGGTCTGGTGAACGTGCTGGGGCTTTGGTGTGACTGAGAGGCGGCCAAGGGCGTGTTCCTCTCTTGCAGTTTCCTCTCGCCGAGCCTCGGGGGCGTTTTCAGTCGAATAAACTTGCGATCGCCACGTGTGGCATCATTCCAAGGGAGCCGGCTCCCAAAGGCCGGC